CGCCGGGCCCGGCCGCTGCGGGCGGGTCCTCGCCTCCCGGAAAGCCTTTCCCGCGCCCCCGCGGAGGCCGGGCCGGGGCTGGCAGGAGCTCGGAGGGTCCCTTGCCCCGCACTCCACCCCGGGCTGGCGGTCCAACACTGCGCAGTGTGACTTGCCAAGGACGGGTGGACATCCTGGCTCTGGCACGCACTGGCTGTGGACGAGTGATTGTGTTTCTCTAGACCTTGATTCCTTCGACTGTAAACGGGGCTGGTAAGCAACACCCCTTGGGAGCATCCTCGAAGTCAGCAGAGGGTCTAACGATACCGTGAGTGCAATGCATTGAAACGCTCTCGCCCCAGTGAGTGGAAGCAGTGGCCCCTCAGGAAGACAGCAACAGCAGACCTCACCCCTAACAACTGCCCAGCCAGAGGCAGGAGTGACGCACAGTACCCTGGCTGGCAGTGCTGCCCAGCCCTCCCCAACTGCTCCATCCCCTACCAAAGGGAGGTTCTGGTGCTCCCACCCTCAGTCACCCCTTGGCAATCCTTCAACGCTCAGGATGTTCACGCCACGTGGGACAGGCTGCCTTCAGGAGGTTGGAGGCCCGGATGGGCCTTGCAAGCAGGACTGTTTGGACAGGGCTTTCCAGACGTTAGGTACCAGGAACATGATCTAGGAGGGGACATGGGCTCAGGGTACCTCTTGGCTGGTGTGAAGAAGAGGCAGGACTGGCCAGGGCAAGCTAAAGCCTGGAGTCTAGGGTTGTCCATGTCTAAAGTCAGTACATGTGACAAGTACCAAAGGACAGGACTGGGTCCCAGGTTCTTGGAGGCTGGGTCTGCAAATGCTAGCCACCTAAGCCACATTCAACCCACACAGGGATTTTTTTTAGGCTCATGTTGTGTGTGTGTGTGTGTGTGTGTGTGTGTGTGTGTGTTTAAGCTACACTAGTTGCCAACATTTTTTTAAAGTTGGGAAATTCACTTATAATTCTGAATTTCTAGCTTCTCTGGAAAATTCCTAAGATCTCTGAAAACAAAGCCTACACTCTACCAAGAGTTGGAGAGGGGCAACTGCTGGCCCAGGCTGACTCTCCTGGCTACACACCACTGTCCCTACTGGCCAAACAACGCATGTGCACACACTCACACATCACACCTGTTACATCCCCACAACCATGGGTGGCTGTGTTTTCCCACCAGTGGAATTCAGAAAAGAGAAGGCTGAGGGATGGTTTTATCATCCTCTGAAGGGCTTTCTGAAGAAGCTACTGAGCACATGCCATCTGATGAGGAATGTGGGCTTATAGCAAAGCAGCAAACTTGGACTGGGAGAATGGGGCCACTAAGTTCTCCACTTCTCAGAGCTTCTCCAAGATGAACCATTCTTTTAAGAGAGATTTTTTGCTATAGGGCACATGTACTTACCAGAGAGACTAAAAGTGAGAAATCACTCCCCAGAAGGGATGGCCATGCCACAATCCCTTCTCCTCCAGGATATTGGGCATGCATGCACACACGCCCGGCGTGCATTTTAAGCCTCCAGGTCCAGGACTCGAACAGGGGTTGACTACGTGGGAGTCCAGCAAGGTAACCATTACGCCACCTGCTGGTCCCTGAGATGAACTATTTCTAGTTGTCCTGAGTGGGTAGGCATCTGGTAGCTGTGGTAAGAAGCTAAACCACACGGTCTCTTGTGGCCTCTCCCAGGTCTGAGATTTGACAACTCTGCACATAAGATGTGAAAGAACACTTCAACCCAGAGGAGTTTATAACCCAGATGGAAAAGACATGCTGTATCACATTTACCCGAGAATAAACAAACAGAAAGATAAACGAGAGGAATAGCCCCTGGCCCTGATGCTGTGCATACCCACTCCCAGTGCACACAGGACAGGGTTGGTCTGAGGTTGTACCAGGTGCCTTTTCTAGCCCGCTGTCTCCGCTGTTCCAGAACTCCTGCCACCCAGTGCCCCTAAGTCTCTGGCCTGATCTGAAAGACCCCGTGTGACACCCGATGTTCTAACTCAGAGTAACAGAAATTGATCGATTGTCCCACATAGCAAGAGGACTTGTTCAACAGATACGGGGTGCCCACAGAATCGGCAGGAGACTGAAGGTTCAGATTAGGAAGTGAGAAGGCACCCCAGGGGCTCCTGGGGCTGAGCGCCCCTG